GCTGAACAGACAGGTACAGATAGGGCAAGGTGTAAGAATCAGTCTCCAAGGATGTCATTGGATTATATACTTAGCAGAGCTGTCTGGCTTTTGTTCCTTTGGTGACAGAAGTAGAAAGCCAATCTTTATGTAACCTCTACCTTCTCTCACCCCTACACCTTCACACCGTAGTAAATACAGCTTTTTCTGTCTGCTTGTGCTGGAGGTCTGAGGGAAATAAAAGAGAATTATATTTCTTGAGACAGTCCCAAAGGAAGCAGAAAAGACTAGAGGGTACTGAGGGCCCACAGTTAGGGAGGCTGCTGGTGAGGGCAGAAGCATGAGGTGACAGAGATTGATTACCAAGAGCCTCTTCCTCCCTCACACACAGAGAGGGGAGGAGAGGGATGGCTGGGGGCAATGCGATGGAACAGTGGATTCTGTGCAGCTCTGAGGGAGGGAGCTGGGTCTAGTTTACTCTCTGCTGTACCTCTAGCCCCAAGAACAGTGTGTGGCACAAGAGAGGAACCCCCCCAGTACACATTCAGCATCTGCCTCTCTGCACACTCCTGGGCCCAAATGGCTGTTTTGGGAGACATGTTACCCTTCTACCCTGGTCCCAAGCCAACCTTCCCGATGGACACCACCTTGGCGGTCATCATCACCATCTTCCTCACGGCGTTGGTGACCTTCATCATCATCCTGCCGGGCATTCGGGGCAAGATGGTAAGAAACAAGCCCAGACCCAAGACCCCAGCCTCAAAGAGACCCGGGTCTCCAGGTGAGGGAACCAGACTCTGGGCCTATGACACTCAGGGAAGACACTGGTACTGAGAAAGCCACTCTGACCCCCAGCTGAGAGCTCCCCACTCACTGACTGAGCATCTACCATGTGCTGGGTGAGCTCGTCTGCACTGGCAGGGGGAATCCCTGGGTTAGAACCCCAAGCCTAGAAGGAGGAAGGGTGGCCTTGCAGGAAGGGACCTTCTCCCTAAACCCTTCCCCCTGTGCCTCAGAGGCTGTTCTGGCTGCTGCGGGTGGTGACCAGCTTATTCATCGGGGCTGTGATTCTGGGTGAGTGTGAAACTAGCTGAATCAGGTAGCTGCCTCTGTTTGTTTAGTTCCATCTAAGTGAGCAGCTGGCATTTCTCCACAGCTGCCTTTCTGTCCCGTCCCTCACCCCCACCCCTCTTTCCTCTGGCACTCTTACCTGAGTCCTGAGGGCATTTTGGGTACACTCTCCAACCTTCTCATTCTTTTTTTCTCAGAGCCAAAGAGATCAATCATCCTGACTTTCTTTGGGAAGAAGGTTTCAGGACACTGAAGCTGGAAAAGAAGGGTGGAGTGGGTGTAGAGGGTGGAGGGGAAGGGGCTGCTGGCTTTACTTTGGGAATTTGGCAAATAAGTGGGAAAGTCACTCACTGAAGTTGTGTTTGGAGATCAAAGTTAATTATGTTAAGGCCTTCTTCCAAGCTTCAAGAGCAGCTCTCCTCAAATGGGGGTGGGAAGAAGGGAGGGACAGTAGCAGAAGGTGGCCACGGGAAATCTTGAATTTTGACCCATTTACTCATCCGGCTGGAGCGATAGCACAGCGGGTAGGGCGTTCGCCTTACAAGCGGCCAACATGGCCGACCCGAGTTCGATTCCTCCGCCCCTCTTGGAGAGCCCGGCAAGCTACCGAGAGTATTCGATATGCCAGACACAGTAACAACAAAGTCTCCAATGGAGATGTTACTGGGCCCGCTCGAGCAAATCGACGATCAACGGGAGGGCCTTTACCTTTACCCTTACTCATCCCAGACTGGTTGCTGGCAAACCATCCACTAGTCTGACCTTGGACATGCTAATGGACAGAAAGAGATCCCTTGTAGGTCTCCCTCTGACCCTAAGCCAGCTGTGCCCAGACCTCCCTGAGTTCCTGTATTTTCAACTTCCCAACCCCAGCAGTGAATTTCAGTTCTGAGTGGTCAGTGGGCCAGGTCAGCACCAACACATCCTATAAGGCCTTCAGTTCCGAGTGGATCAAGGCCGAAGTTGGGCTGCAGATTGGGCTTCGAGGAGTCAACATCACACTCACAGGTAAATGGTGTGTGTGTGTGTGTGTATAGTGTGTGTGTGTGTGTGTGTGTGTGTGTGTGTGTGTGTGTGTGAAAACTGGATTCTAAGTCTGTCCTGATGGGGAGCTGCAGGATGGGGGGATGGTAGCTGGAACTTTCCCAGACCTTGGAAGTTTTCTTCTGTCACTTGAGAGAAGTTTCTAACCTTCCACCCATTGTGGCGAGCCACACATCAGGGAAATGCCCACTCTGGCCCTGGGGTCCCCACTGAATATGCCTGACAACCCAGGAACCCCAGTGCAGCAGCTGAACGAGACCATCAATTACAACGAGGAGTTCACCTGGCGCCTGGGCACAAGCTACGCCAAGGAGTACACAAAGGCCCTGGAGAAGGGGCTGCCAGACCCCGTGCTCCATCTGGCTGAGAAGTTCACCCCAAACAGTCCCTGTGGCCTGCATAGCCAGTATCGCCTGGCAGGACACTACACTTCGGCCACTCTGTGGTGAGGCTGGGATAGGGCGATCGCTGCCTTGGGCCCAGGAACAGGATTTCCCCTGTCTCTCTTCCACTCAAGGGCGGGTGGAGGGCTCCCTGGTGGACTGGACTGGCATCCATCCCCCTGGGTGGTGGGGAAGTCCACAAGCTGGAGATCTTCCCAGGAGAGGCCCCCGGGAGGCCTCACTGGTTCCTGGCCCTGTAGGGTGGCTTTCCTCTGCTGGCTGCTGACCAACGTGATGCTGTCCATGCCTGTGCTGGTCTACGGTGGCCACATGCTGCTGGCCACGGGCATCTTCCAGCTGCTGGCCTTGGTCTTCTTCTCCACCACCATGTCTCTCAGCCCACCCTGCCCCCTACGCCTGGGCCCGGAGGTGCTGCGCACCCACCTTGGGCCTGCCTTCTGGATCACACTGTCTACAGGTGAGGCTTGCTCCCAAAGAGGGGCTCTGGGGGCCCCGGTGTCAGCAGTAGAGGGTTGGGACCTTCTTCATGATGGGACATTTTGAAGGCTTGTCTCTGGGGACCTGGATGTTTTTCCCTTCTTTGAAGCTCCCCCTCTCATGTTCCTCATCCCTGGGGTTTCTCTCCAGGTTTCCACTTCCTCTCCTCCCCAGTTGTAGCCTCTGCTGCCCCTCTGTGTCTCTTATGGTCCTCATCCCCTATAGCTCTCTCCCCCCATCACTTCTAAAGCTTCATATTTCACAACCCTGCCTACTTCCCCCTAAATGTTTTTCTTGGGTCCCTTGTTCCTACCCAAGGATCCTTATTTAATGCCTGGTATATCCCTCTCCACAGTAACCTCCCACATGCCAGCAGGACTGTCCACTGTAGCCAGTGGCTCAGCTGCTGCCCTGGGTCTCTGCCCCATGTAACCCTTAAGTGTTCTCTCTCTCTCTCTCTCTCTCTCTCTCTCTCTCTCTCTCTCTCCTCTCTTATTAGTGAAAGATCAGTGGTATTAGCCTATGACTAAATCGGCCACTTCTCTGAGCCCATATTGTCCTCCCACGGTTCAGAAGGTCCTAGAAGGTGTCCTTGGGAGAGTCTCTGAGTAATGGCCCCCTGTTGCTCCTGCCCAGGGTTTCTGTGTGTGCTGCTGGGGCTGGCTATGGCGGTGGCTCACAGGATGCAGCCCCACAGGCTGAAAACTTTCTTCAACCAGAGCGTGGGGGAAGGCCCTGTGCTGAGTTGGAATCCTGAGGAAGGAGGACTCCTGAGCCCTCGGTACCGCTCCATGGCTGAGAATCCCGAGCCCCAGAACATCCCACTCTCAGAAGCTTCCTCTGAGGCCTGTTGCAAGGAAGAGCACCCTGAAGAACCTGACTGTGCCCTATAAGGCTCCTCACCCCAGTGGCCACCTAGGCTTCCAGCCTGGAGCCGGACATTGTCAGAGTACCATAAAGCCACTAACACAGCCCATAAGATGTTTGTGGCAGGACCCTGTTCCAACCTATAGGTAGTTCGGAGAATTCCTGAGACTGGGGAGGTACCTCAGCAGGCTGAGCACATGGTCTGCAGGCAGGAAGCCTGCATTCCCTTCTATTCTGGACACTGTGTGGCCCCCAAACCATGCCAGGTGTGAGCCCCCCCCCCACCCAAGGCAAAAAATGAAGCAAGCAAGAAAAATCCTAGTGTGCAGAAAAGACACTGGGGCTGCCCATGAAGCCTGTCACTACATAGGACTAAGCCAAGGCTGTTTCTGCCTGGTGCTTGTCTGTTTGCTGAAACTCGAGCTCTACCTACATAGTGACTTGTGGGTACAGTGGGTCCCCAGTGCCTGCCTCACCCCTTTGCTCCTCTTGTTTTCTTTTTCTCTGGGTCCCTTTGTTCTTCCCTAACTCCCCAAGTTTGTATGACCTCTTGGTACAATAAAAGGCAGTACTGTGGAGGGGAAGAATGTGAACTGGTCTAAACTAAAATTAACCAACCAAGACCCATTCTCTAGGAACTTCAGTTCTCAAAGTTTGCTAAATAAGGAGATAGGAGTTGCAGGACATCCTCAAAATTTGCATTTTGGTGACAGCTTCCTTGGCCTTCGGACACCACCTGCTAGTGAATCATCTGAAGTTAGTGAATAAGCTCAAAATGTGCCCTTTCCTTGTCCACCCTGCTGGGCCAGGTGGAAACCTGTGTCAGGGCCTTCTCCGGCCGCTCTGCCCGGTTCCCCGCTGTGCTCACTAGAGGGCGCTCCTCTCACTGTGCCGGTGAGGTTATCCCAAGCCCCCAGGCGCGGGGTACCAGGCTGCCTCCAATACTCCACTTGTCTGGAGCGCGCACATCCCCAAAGGACTTGGAGAGCCGCCGAAATGATTAGGAAATGGGTGTTTTTTTACTTTTTGAAAAATAATAAAAAGTAGTTTATTTACAGTTCATTCTGGAACTTTTCCCCCACGATGAACACGACGAGCACGGCTTCCCTGCCGGCGTGAACTAAGGTGGCTGGCGTGGGAGTCCGAGGCTGCGCCCCCTCACAAGTTAGTACTGGTCATGACCACCGGCTCTAACGGTTTGTGAAGCGGGTTATTGAGGACAAGGGATAAGCCGCTTCTCGTATGGTCGCCACAGTCCTTGAAGCTTTGGTCCAAGAAGATGCGAAGAGCGCCCGGTCGAATGTAGTGGAGACTCGCCACAGCGACGCCCAGGAGGAGACACAGGATGCCTGTCGCGGCGACGGAAGGAAAAGGGGGTGCTCAGCGCTCCAGACCAGATCTCGAGGGTCACACCCCACATGCACATGGCCACACATTCCCCGAAGAAAGGCCTTAAATGGGTCACACGACACGCTAAGTGGGGCAAGACCCTGATTGCTTCTAAACTCTTCCAGCCTCCCCTGCGAGTCCTCTTTGCAAGTAAACTGGGGAGGGCACATCAGTACAAATCCCCTGCCGCCCCGCAGCCAACCCCTGGTCCGGGTCCCCTCGGTCCTCACCGGTGGCCAGCGTGATCCAAAAGGCGGCCCCGTAGTGCGTGGTGAGGGCCGAGGAGCCAAAGCGGAAGGGGCAGAGGGGCACGCTGGAGATGGAGGCGAAGGCGAAGACGGAGAAGAGCACGAAGGCGCCGGTGACAAGCAGCGCCAGGCCGCCGTAGAGCGGGACGGGCATGGAGAACAGCGCGTTGGAGAGCAGCCAGAAACAGAACGCCACCCTGCGGGAAGCAGCGCCGCGCCGTGAGCCCGCAGCTCCCAGCCGCTCACTGCACGCGCCCTGGCCCGCAGCTGCCCGCCGCCTGCACCCCTGCCGTGAGCCCGCAGCTCCCAGCCGCTCACTGCACGCGCCCTGACCCGCAGCTGCCCGCCGCCTGCACCCCTGCCGTGAGCCCGCAGCTCCCTGCCGCTCACTGCACGCGCCCTGACCCGCAGCTGCCCGCCGCCTGCACCCCTGCCGTGAGCCCGCAGCTCCCAGCCGCTCACTGCACGCGCCCTGACCCGCAGCTGCCCGCCGCCTGCACCCCTGCCGTGAGCCCGCAGCTCCCTGCCGCTCACTGCACGCGCCCTGACCCCCAGCTCCCCGCCGCCCGTACCCACCCCGCCGTGAGTCCGCAGCTCCCCGCTTCGTGCTCCCGGGAGGTTCCTATCCCAGATCTCCCGCTCAAGGCTGGGAGCTCAGTGGCGGAGAGGAATCCCTGGGGGAATCCCGGCTCCCAGTGCTGGCTGAGTTCCCCGGAGTTTCCGAGAAACTGGAGAATGACCTTCAGTCTCCCAGCGAGTCTCCGAGAGCATCTTGCAGCGTCTGCGGCTCCCAACGGGTCCTGCCCAGCCCAGGCCAGCGCCTTCTCTCTCCCCCAGCGCTCACCACAGCGTGGCTGAAGCGTAGTGGCCCGCCAGGCGGTACTGGCTGTACAGCCCACACGGGCTGCTCGGGGTGAACTTCTCCGCCAAGTAGAGCACGGGATCTGGCAGCCCCTTCGCCAACGCCCGGGCGTACTCCTCCTCATAGTCCTCCCCGAAACGCCAATGGAACTGCTCGTTGTAGTCAATGGTTTCGTTCATCTGCCGCACTGGGGTCCCTGGAGAGCGGGGCAAGGTCATGAGGGCGAGGGTGGGGTGGGGTGGGGGCGCGCTGCATGCAGCCGGGACACCTAAACGCATTGTGATTGGAAAGCTACGGTGCCAGAGGATTCCATTTAGCAGACAGGAAAACACAAGTCTTAGAGGATCAAAAGGTTTCTGAGCTCCAGCTGCTAATGCCACATTTACCCACCCATGGGGTCTGCCTAGCTCAGTAGGTAGTGGACCCTACCCGCTCACCTGTGAGTGTTATGTTGATACTCTCCAGGCCCACGTGCAGACCGACATGCGCTCGGACCTGCTCAGTGCTGAAGGCTTTGTAGGAAGTATTGGTATCAACTCTGCCCACCGACCATTCTGCGCTGAAGTGCACAGCTGGGGGGAGAAGCACATGGGCGGTTGGGGGAGGGGAGCGGGTGGAGGTTTCTGCAAGAAGTTGGAGATAGAATTCAAAGGGGTGAGAGGTTGCATCGTGCAAAAGAGGGGGGTGTCCTAGGGATCCAATGTGTTGCATGCAGTAAACAAGGAAAATTTGCCACTCAAAGGGGCTTGGAGGGAGTTGGGGGTAGAGACAATGCAGGAGGATAGATATTTGTCATGCATGCAGCACCGCACCCCTGTAGGGGCACCACAGGATGCTCTAAGAAACAGGAATAGCCCCCAAACACTGCTTGGTGTGACACCCCTACCTCACCCCCCACCCCCTGCAATTAAAAAAAAAAACACTTGAAGGAGAAAGGAGGCAGGAACCAGCCACCCAATTCCCATTTTTCCCTCTACCCCCCATCTTCCTACCCCCATTGGCTGTACCACAAACTCACCCACAATTTCTGCACCTATAAACAGACTGAGAAGAACTCTCACCAACCAGAACCAGCGCTGTGGGGAAAAGCAACCCATTAGACCTGGGTACTCTGGTATAGAACCAGAACTCCCAAGACTTCCTTGACCCCATGACACCCTAATATGCAGGGCCCTGAAACTGCCTTTTAAGTTGGGGGAAGGCAGTCATGAGAATAAGTAGGACAGCTTGTTGACCTTCAAAGTGAAACTAGGTGGGGGGGTGGGGGTGGGGAAAGAGGGCTGTCACCTCTAACCCCACTTTGGAACATACATTTTGCCTGTCTTCTCTGATCCCAAAAGCACATCTGCTCCCAGACACATCTCTGAGATAAAAATGTGTAGGGGCCAGAGTGATAGCACAGTGGGTGGGGTGTTTGCCTTGCACAGGGCTGACCTGGGTTAAATCCCTGGCATCCCATATGGTCCCCTGAGCACCGCCAGAAGTAATCCCTGAGTTCAGAGCCAGGAGTAACCCCTGGGCGTTGCCGGGTGTGACCCAAAAAGCATAAAAAAATGTGTAGTTCAGGGGGCTACAATGGGTAGCGCATTTGCCTTGCATGGGGTTGATCCAGGTTGATCCCCAGCATCTCATATGGTCCCCCTTCCACCTCCCACCAGCACTGCCAGAAGTAATTCCTGAGTGCAGAGCCAGGAGTAACCCCTGTACATCGCCAGGTGTGACCCTCAAAAAGTTAACCAACCAACCAAACAACCAAACAAACAAACAAACCCAAAAGCAAACAAACAAAAAACCCAGGTAGTTCAGACCATCTAGATCGATGTGATTAAACCCACCAAGGCCTCTCTGTATGTGAGATTTTGGCAGGAGGGTGTGGAAAATGCTGGTTTTTACAGGCACTTAAGACAAAACCTAAGTATGTTCCCTTGGTTATTAATACTGCTATCTAGCAATGCAGAGCAGTCTGCTGTGTGATCAAGAAGAGAAAGGAAGGCTTGCCACAGCAAGCGGACCTTTGCTATGAGCAGTTTGGTGAGGCTGAAACTCAAGTTAGAAAAATTAAAGAGACCTCAGATCCATTGTGCAAAGGTGGGAGAGCAACGTGACCTCAGATTTAAGGTTCAAGCTCTTGTGACAAAGCCTGATTAGGACATTAAGTGGTGGGATGGGGGAGGGAAAGGAGGCAGATTTAAATAGCAATTGCTCAAAACTTCTTGGAAGAAACTTGCATTCCCCCAGTGTCCCAAAGGATAAAAAGGAAGATAGAGACTTAAAATACAGACTGCCAATACATTTGAGAAGCCTGTGTTCTCTCTTTAACATTCTCTCATCTCTCTCTCTCTCTCTCTCTCTCTCTCTCTCTCTCTCTCTCTCTCTCTCCTGAGGATTAAACCTGGGGCCTAAAGCATGGAAAGCATGCACTCTATTGCTGAGTGTTTAGCACAGCTATTAGTAATTTTGAAAAATTTCCTCAAATCAAATTCTGAGTCAAGATATATAAAAATTTGGAGCTGGAGCGATAGTACAGCGGGTAGGACGTCTGTCTTACATGCAGCCGACCCGGGTTCGATTCCCAGGATCCCATATGGTCCCCTGAGCACCGCCAGGAGTAATTCCTAAGTGCTTGAGCCAGGAGTAACCCCTATGCATAGCTGGGAGTGACCCAAAAAGCAAAAAAAAAAAAAAAAAAAGATCAAATTTATTCAGTCTTATTTGATTTGCTAAAATTTATTGGGATTATTGATGAATAACAAGAGATGCTTCCTCAAGTCTGGTCCAGTTGCCTGGGCCAGTATCACCTTGACTGGCCCCTGGTACCCTGAGCACTGCTTGGGAGGATTCTCCCTCCCCCCCAAAAAAGTGAAACTAAACTTTCTTTAGGGTGTAAGTGTTCTGGCAATTCCTTAAAAGTACTGATACGATGGGGCTGGAGCAATAGTATGGCAGGTAGGGAAGGTGCCTGTTTTGCACGCAGCCAACTTGAGTTCCATCTTCAGCATCTCATATGGTCCCCTAAAACCTCCAAAATGATCCCTAAGTACAGAGCCAGAAGTAACCCTTGAGCATCACAGGGTGTGCCCCCCCATCAAAAAAATACTGATACCTTCTCAAACAGTGTTACCATGTATAGACTTGTCTCTGATGCAGGATACTCTGCAGATTTTTCTGGAAATTTGGGGGCATGGGGACTTGATAGTGAAGTCACAGAAAAATTTAAGGTCCAGACCATTGCTGTAAAGCTTCAGAAATCATTTAAGTAAGAAGTACATTATTCCAGGAGTTGTAGTTGTTGGACACGAACCCTAAGGCCCCAAGTCAGATTCCTAAGAATGGAACAGAGTTTGGAGTTCTTGGAGGAATAGGGGATAGGGAAGTGAAGTATTTTTTCATCCACCTAGCATGGTGTCTCTGTTCCTTCTACTGTCAGGTAAAGAAAGGGCATGTGTGAGCTGGGGATCAGAGTGATAAACCACCCTTGAGAAGAAAGGCTAACATAGGAGTGAAGCAGATTAAAGCTCTGGACATCTTACAGACATTTGAGTTACTGTCTGTGACTACAGAAGGTATGAGCTAGGGCGCAACACAATAGTGCCTCTGACATTTTGGTTTCAGCTCTTTACGGGGTCCTGTAAACCCCCATAAAGCAACAGCTCCTATCCATACATGTGGAGCTTCTCACACAGCAGTGGTGGGTTGAACTGAGTTGTTGGCTGATCACTCAGAAGCCCTGGCTGGCCTTCTTCACGTACAACCAGCTCATTCTAAAGGAATTTGTCCTTTGCATTGGGCAGCAGGATGTTGAGGGGTGTATGATCACAAGAGGTACCTTGCAGGGTCAGGATATATAGAGAGACATCTGAGTGCAAGGACAAGAAAGGTGAGGAGGTCCTCACTGTCATACACATCTTGACTCTGACATTCCCTGTCAATAAGGAAATTGCTGCCCTCGCTCAGTTACCATCCTTAAGAATTAAAAAGGTAGATCTGTCACTGTCACTGTCCTCCCATTGTTCATTGATTTGCTTGAGCGGGCCCAGTAACATTGTGAGACTTGTTGTTAGTGTGTTTGGCATATCAAATACGTCATGGGTAGCTTACAAGGCTTTTGCTGTGCGGGAGAGATACTCTTGGTAGCTTGCCGGGCTCTCAGAGGGGCCGAGGAATTGTACTTGGGTTGGCCTACTGGCCACATACAAGGCAGATGCCCTACCCTACCTGCTGTGCTATTAACAATGCATTATTGAAAGAGAAATTGTAGATGCCTGAGAGATAATATAGAGGCTACTTTCCTTGCACATGGCTGACCCTGGTTTGATCCCTTGTGCTTCTTATTTAAATGATTCCTAAAGCTTTACAGCAATGGCCTAGACCTTAAATTTTCTGTGTCTCCACTATCTAGCAAGTCCCCATACCCCCAAGTTTCCAGAAAAGTCTGCAGAGTATCCTGCATCAGAGACAAGTGTATTCATGGTAACACTGTTTGAGAATGTATCAGTGTTTTTTTGGTGGTGGTGGTGGGGGCACACCCTGTGATGCTAAGGGTTACTTCTGGCTCTGTACTCAGGGATCACTCTTTCAGGTCTTGGGGGACCATATGGAATGCTGGAGATGGAACCCAGGCTGGCTGTGTGCAAGGCAGGAGCCCTCCCTCCCTGCCTTGACTGATACCTAATATGGTCACCGAGACCACCAAGGAGTGAGTGATCCCTGAGTGCAGAGCTAGGAGTAGGTCCTGAACATAGCCAGGAGTGGCCCCAAAGTGCACGGGGCGGGGGGAGCGAGAGAATGAGAGAAAAGAGTTGACTTGTGTGCAAAGCATGTGCTCTAGTTCACTCAGCTGAGCTACCCCTCTGGTCACTCACTCAACAAGTCTGAACAGATATCCCCCTCCCCCCACCCCCACACACACACCAAAATCTGTTCTTTCTGAACACTGAAATGTCTCTAAGGAGAAAAACCATCCTTCCTAAATAGAATGCATTTCAGTACTTGCTTCACCTGTGCCATTATCCAAACAGAATGGCATGCATTTAGACCTGAGGAGTCTGCTATCGTTGTTATTTTTTGGTTAATTTTGGACTACATGCAGCAGTGTTCAGGGCTGACTCCTGGCTTTGTGTTCAAGGTATTACTTCTGGTAATACTTTGAGAACCACTGGTGGTACAAATAAAGTACCTTAACTTCTCTATTATCTCTTCAGCCCACTATCATTGTTATTAACTCACACAAGTGGACACACATACTGACTGTTATAAATCATGATTTATATTATGGGGATTCCTTATAGAAAAGGAACTCACTAATACTAGAAATCACTGTCTTAAACTAAGTTTTGTCTCAAATGTGTCTGTATGCTGATGGAATTTGCCTCCAGAGTAGTCAAAAGCAGCTGAACAGCCCTGTCTAGGCTAATGAGGTCCCTTGCTGACTGCCTTGATAGCATCTGGAGCAGGCTATCAAAAGACACTTGCTGACCCTCAAGCTGGACCAGGGAATTATAGGTGCCTCACAACCACCCTCTCAGCATTTGGGGGGTGTGTTTCACTTGCCTTCTTGTTCCCAGAAACTGCCAAAAACAAAAAATCTTACCTATAAGATAAACTATAGTACTGTAGCATTGTCCTCCCATTTGTTCATCGATTTGCTTGAGCGGGCACCAGTAACGTCTCCATTGTGAGACTTGTTGTTACTGTTTTTGACATATTGAATATGCCAGGGGGAGCTTGCCAGGTTTGCCAGGCTCCCAGAGAGGAAGGGAGGAATCAAACCCATGTCAGCTGAGTGCAAGGCAAACGCCCTACCTGCTGTGCTATTGTTCCAGCCCCAGTAACAAGTCTCACAATGGAGACATTACTGTGCCTGCTCGAGCTAAAAGATAAACTATAGCAACAAAAATTAATTAAATATATTTTTAAAAAGATAGTTTTTAAAAAGATAATTTTAATATATATTTATATATTTAAAAAATAAAATGTATTGTTGAGACTACTGGATGATGTATGTGATTAAGCTCACTAAAGATTTTTGGATAAACCTTAAGATGTGGTGGAAGGTGCAAAAAAAAATGCTCTTGTTTTGACAAAGTGAAAGTCTCAGAAGGAAGTACCCTTGGTTATTAAAGCTACCATCTTGCAATATGCCGTTTTCTGCCGTTTTCTTGGGTCTCTCTTTGTTTATCACATGGAGTGGGACTTGATTTCAGATTATTCCTGGGATCATCTTGAGGCTGCACCCCCAACACCCTGTTGCCTCATTCGCTTTCCCAGTTACATTCCTGACATTTTGAAGGGAAAGCAATCTTTGAGGAGGAAGCAGTCTGGCTTTTCATGCAAGGCCCCCTGGATTGGTGGCATTTCTGATATTCTCTAGCTTTGCATTCCACACACACCCCCATTTCCCAGTCCACCCTACCCAGTGGTGAGGATGAAGGTATCTCTGACTAGTGATCTCCCATTGCCCTCACTCCCCCAGCCAACTAATTCCTGATCCTGCTTCTCACCTAGCTCTCTGCTGTGATGAGGATCAGTGAACCCAGAAGTGCTAGCTAGCAAGGATCACCTCCCCCAGGAGAGGGAGGCCCTGATCTGGTCTTCAAGTAGAGACGGTAGGTGTACAGCCGCTCAGATTTCCCTAGGCACATCAAGATCCAAGCAAGCCAACAGCGATCAAGGTGAGGGGCTGCGTCCCCCTAGACTTGAGAAACAGACAGTCTAGATGGTACAGGGAGGTGTGTGTGTGTGGGGGGGGAAAGGGGATGTGTCTAAGGAAATGTATCCAGAGTCCTACAACTTTGCATCTTGTCCTGGAGTTTCTCAGTTCATGGGATGAGAGAGCCCATATAGGTTCCTCTCAAGCAGCAGGTTGGGGGAAACAGCAGTCTGAATAGTTTGGGTTCTGTTATCTTTGCCCAAAAGTATTATGCAGAGGGCAGAATGAGGGTGGAGCTGCTGTCTGGAGGAGGTAGGTATCCGTGTGGAGGAGGTAGGTCTCCTCAGCACAGTGAAGACTAGAGTTGCGCGCAGGATTCCTGGACTGGGCACCTACTCTGCAGCGACCTCCCAATGCTCCAGACATTCCTAGGATATCTTGTACGTGAGCTACCCCTGATCTCGCAAAAAGGAAACGTACTGCACCTGGCTTTGGCGCCTGGGAGTCTGTTCTCTCTCACTTCGACTATTCACGGAGCTCCTTGCTTAATTCTCACCTGTCCTGAACCCTCCAGTTGGCGCCCCCACCCCCAGACCCAAGCTATTAGCGTTCCCTTACCGAATGGCCACGAATCCCGGGCAAGATGAGCAGGAAGCTGGAGGCCAAGGCCAAGAACACCACAAGGACGATGAGCAGCGGGACGCTGAAGCCCGCGGCGCGGGGAGCCTGGGGGTAGAAAGGTAGCACCCCGTCCCACAGCGTCATGCTGCCGGCGGTGGCCTGGAGCTGCGGGGAACCGGGTCAGCGGGCGCTGCGGCCGCACTCTGGCTCACTTTTCTTTATCCCGCCCCTCAATGTGCTAGGACTGGCCCTAGTGGGCTGGTGGATCTGAGCCCTCGGCTGGCCGCCCGCAAAAGCCAGGAGCTGGCCCGGGAGGAGGGGGCCGCGCGCGAGCAGAATTCTTTCTCACGGGTTGCGGCCACACACGTAAGTCCGCGGCTCTAGGCGAGTTTGCGCCGAGTTTGCGAGTCGCGCCGGGCGGGGTCAGGTTTTATAGCAGCGACGGCAGTCACTGAGGCCAAGCGGATGTCGAGGCTCCAGCGGGAAGAGGTCTTGGCAAGGAAGGTCGGCGATAGCTATGCAAATGAGAGGAGCCCCGCCTTTGCCGCCAGAGAACGAGCCTTGGGGCCAGATGCTCACACCTGCCGGCTGGTCGCGCCTGAGAGGACACTCACCCGCGCGCTGCGGCCCAAGAAACTGACACCGAGGGAAGGGTGAGAGTGCCGAGCGGGTGGGGGCTTTGGGGCTGGGGCGGCGAGGATGGAACAGGCGGTGTGTAGGCCGGGAGTAGGGCAGAGTTGCAGTTCCAAGAGCAAAACCTTCTAATCCTGGTTTTCACCCCACTGTGTGCATGGGGGTGCGGGGACATGCAGAGAGTTCCCCTCTCATGAGCCTCTTTTCCTCCCCACTCCCTGCCACCTTTTTTTTCCTTTTTGGGTCATACCCAACAATATTCAGGGGTTAATCCTGCCTCTGCACTCAGGAATTACTTCTGGCGGTGCTTGGGGGGCCGTATGGGAGGCCAGAAATCGAACCCGAGCCAGCCGCATGAAAGGCGACCACCCTACCAGCTGTGCTATCGCTACAGTCCCAGTCCCTGCCTCCTTCCTCCAAGAAGCAGTTGTGGAGGAGGACGGACTCAAAGAGTATGCAGAGCACTCTCGCCCGAGCCTTCCCTCACCCCCCACTTCCCCGGGTCTGGATGGTTCTTTCGAGTGATGGAGAATGGGGAGCAGCTGCAGCATCTGGAAGACCGCCAACTATCCTAAAAGAGAGAGGCTTGTGGGCCGAAGGGACAGCTCCACTGGGCTGAGCTCATGCCCTGATGACCCTGACACCGCAGGGTCCCTCCAGCAACAGACCCCTTGGAGCAACAACATGGGAAGTCTCCCGTGAGCCCATCAGAGTGTGGGCCTCAAACCAAAAATAAACAGATAAAAGAGGTTGCCAGAGCGATAGTATAGTGGGAATGGCACTTAACCTTTCATGAGGCTGACCCCGGTATCCTATATGGTCCCGGAGCCCACCAGGAGTGATCCTCAGCACAGAACGAAGAGAAAGCCCAGAGCACCGCTGGGGGCTTACTCCTGGCCCCAAAATACATTTTAAAAAGAAAGTGCTCAGTAGGTGTGGATCCTTGGTGGTGGGATGTTTCTAAGAGTTCTGTGCCAAAAATGAAAGCAATCAGTGCCACTCCCCTTGCAGCCGCTGTGAGTTTGCGGGGAGGCCAGATCCAAGCCTCTCAAGTTTCGCCTCTCTGCCTGCTACGCCACTGAACGGAGGGGATGCTCTCTGCAGAGGCCCTAGTGCTCCTGGGAATTCTGCTGACCGCCCATCCAGCAGGTAAATATCAGGTGCCTCTAGCTTTGGTATGTCCCGTCTGGAGGTGGGGCAGAAAAGTAATTCAGGGAAGTGGTTTCTTTCTTTCTTTCTTTCTTTCTTTCTTTCTTTCTTTCTTTCTTTCTTTCTTTCTTTCTTTCGGTTTTTGGAAGCTACACCTGGCGCTTACTTAAGCAAGCCACATCAGGGTTAACTTTTGGCTCTGTGTTCAGGGATCACTCCTGGGGCTCGAGGGGACCATATGTGGTGCTGGGATTGGGATCGAACTGGGTAGGCCGTTAGTAGGGAGCGCTCCTTACCGCTTTACTAGCCCCCCCCCCCCCCCGTCCCCCTCCGGCCCGGAAAGCGGTTTCTGGAGGTTGGGACGTCGGGTCAGATTGCGGCGCATCTCCCCATTGTGGGAGCTTTGGGCGTAGCCGCATTGCAGCGCTTGTCTAGGTCGGGCGCGGGCTGAGACTGCCTCAGAGATCCTCGTAAACGCAGATGGGCGCCTTGGAAGCCCCTGTAGCGCTGAGGACCAGTGCGGAGACTCTATTCCTTGTCCCGCAGGTGGCCAAGACCCGCACTCGCTGTCCTGGGAAGTGCAACGCTACGATGGCTGGTTCAACAACCTGCGGCACCACGAGCGCGGTGCTGCTGGTGAGTCTCGCGGCCCGACGGGGCTTGGTGGACTGCCTGCCTCACGGTGCGGGCGCCGGGGCGCGGAAGCTGGGCACGGCGAGCCGGGGGACCGAGCAGTCTCATCAGTGAGGACGGGGGCGAGTAGAGGGACGCGGATGCGAAGTTTGTAGGCCTCCTGGAGACACCGGCTCTGACCGCGAGACTCTCCTCTCGTGACAGGTGTGCGGCTGCAGCGCCTGGTACACGCCAATTACGCAGACGGCGTGTACCAGGCCCTGGAAGAGCCGCTTCTGCCCAACCCGCGCCGGCTCAGCGAAGCAGCCACGCGGGGCACGGCTGGCCGGGCATCCCGGGGCAACCGCACCGTGCTGGGACTCTTCTTTGGTAAGCGCAAAGCGGGAGAGCACTGGGGTTCTAAGCGCCTGCGGGAGGGACTCTTGGAGTCCCTCCACAAGTCCACAAGAAACCAGGTTTGGAGTGTGCCGGCCACCGGCCGAACTCACACTCCCTTACCAAGCAGCATTTCCAACCTTCCTTCATTTCGGAGAGATTAGTGGCAGTGGTGGTGGTGGTGGTAATGGTGCTGGGATTTTCTCGGCTCAGGGATGCTTGTCTCCCTCATAACTCCAACCTCTTATTCCAAATGCAGAAATAGTCCTGAACCCCCATTATAGGTGTTCCTCCAGCCCACCGCCCCCACCCCTCGCGCCCCCAGGGACGGGGAGGCACAATCCCTCAGGAAGTGGCAGAGCCCATAGATTATGTTTTGATTATTATAACAATGCTGTGAGGTGCGGTAGAAGAGGATTATATTCCCACTTTGCAGAGCTAGCGGTCCAGGCCCAAAGAGTGATAGTTTCCAGGAGTTAGCGCTCCTACTACCCGCCCCCCCCCCCCCCAGGCTACCACGTGCTGTCCGACCTGGTGAGCGTGGACAGACCCGGCTGCCCCGCCGAGTTCCTCAACATCCACATCCCGCCCGGAGACCCTGTGTTCGACCCCCACAGCCGCGGGGACGTGGTCCTGCCCTTCCAGAGGAGCCGCTGGGACCCCCAGACCGGCCAGAGCCCCAGCAACCCCCGAGACCTGGTGAGACGAGGCGGCCGCAGGACTCACTGCAGGGCGGGCGCGGGGGAGCCCCGGCTGGGGTCGGGGTGTGAGGGAGGCTCCCACGCCATCTCAGCGCCCCTGCGCCTGCCCGCAGACCAACCAGGTGACCGGCTGGCTGGACGGCAGCGCCATCTATGGCTCTTCGCACTCCTGGAGCGACGCGCTGCGGAGCTTCTCCGGGGGGCAGCTGGCGTCGGGGCCGGACCCAGACTTCCCGCGGGACGCGCAGAACCCGCTGCTCATGTGGGTCGCGCCGGACCCGGCCACGGGAGATCACGGGCCCCGGGGGCTGTACGGTGAGGCGGGGCCGGGCGAACCCCGGGCTGGGCTGGGTCTCAAGAAGGGGTGGCGGGGGAGGGGGCGGAACCCTAGAACAGTGGGGAGGGCGTTTGCCTTGCACGCGGCCGACCTGGGTTCAATCCCCGCATCCCACATGGTCCCCACAGCACCGCCAGGAGTAATCCTGAGTATAGAGCCAGGAGTGACCCCTGAGCATCGCTGGGTGTGGTCCAAAAAGAAAAAAAAAGAAGCAGAAGAGGTGGCGGGGAGGGGGTGCCCGGGACGCCCGGCCGCGGCTCACGTGCCCGCGCCCCCCTTGGTGCAGCCTTCGGGGCGGAGCGCGGGAACCGCGAGCCCTTCCTGCAGGCGCTGGGCCTGCTGTGGTTCCGCTTCCACAACCTGTGCGCGCAGAGGCTGGCGGCCGCGCACCCGCGCTGGGACGACGAGCAGCTGTTCCAGCACGCGCGCAAGCGGGTCATTGCCACCTACCAGGTGAGTCGCAGCCCAGCGCCGCCCTGGAGAGCCCCGAGGCCCCGCGCAGGCCCCTCCTGGACTGCCCCGCCGCCAAAACGCCCCATTCCAGCCTCCCCCCGACCCAAACCCCCAACGACTGAAGGCATCGCCCCTGGGAGTCGTGGAGGGGCAAAGGGCTCCTCACCCGGAGACTCTGGTCTGTGACCCCTTCCTGGAGGGTGAGGTGGGACAACGCCCCATCCGGCTCTGGAGGGGTCTCTCCCCAGTCAGCCCTGCCTGTGCCTCATCTTCCCAGGAGTCTCCCGGGCTCGGGTCCCTGTGGGTCCCTCCGCTCCAGCTCTCAGCCCCTCTCCCTCCCTTCTTCCTCAGAACATCGCCATGTATGAGTGGCTGCCCAGCTTCCTTGGGAAGACGCCCCCCGCCTATGCAGGTGAGGGTCTGGGGCCTAAGAAGGCTTGAGAGAGGCGCTGGGAGGACTGGAAATCTCTGGGGCACTTTTCTTGGAGGGCGCTAGCCTGGTGTGTTGGGTAGTTCAGGAGTGATATGCTAAACCACTCTATTTTGGGAGGGAGATAATACAGTGGTTTAGTGCTAGCCAACACAAGTTCAATCCATGGCATCCCATACAGTCTCTGGAGCCCAGGAGTAAGCCCTGAGTAATGCCTGGTGTGGCCCCCAAAACAAAACAACAACAAAATATTAAAGGCCCAATCTTCCCTTCCCCCAGGGTACCGCCCTTTCCTGGACGCTAGCATCTCTCCAGAGTTCCTGGCGGCTTCTGAGCAGTTTTTCTCCACCATGGTGCCCCCTGGCGTCTACATGAGGTGAGGGAGGAGCTGAGGGTCGAAGAGGGAAACCCTCTGCCAGAGCACCCTGGACTAGGGCACTAAACTCTTTATACACCTCCAGTTTATTAGAGAAGAGAAGCTAAATTTGGTCCTGTAAAGGCTCAGTTATAGCCGTCTCTCACCTCATCTGCTGCTTCTCCTTCAACTTCTCCAACTCAGGCTATTTTCAACTCTGGGTTTCCTCTTCCTTCCCTCTCTTCTGAGCCATGTGCACAAAGAGAACCTTCTACTCCCCACCCCAATCCCCTTCTCCTCTCCCCCCACATGCAAAATTCCTGCTGTCCTCAGGGAAATCCAGGGACTCTGACCAGTCCTGCCTGAGTTGTTCACTCCAGTTAATTACATCTTAGCCTTTCCCTAAATTCCCTTACTGCTCCCTTGATTCTACCATTTCAGAAATGCCAGCTGTCATTTCCAGAAGATCCTGAACCCAGACAATAGCAGTTCCCCAGCGCTCAGAGTCTGCAATAGTTACTGGATTCGAGAGGTCAGCCTGGGCTCGGGTCATAGTGGATCAATCTAATCAGAGAGGCTGGGAAAAGCAACTGCTTCCATTCTTGGATGTCAATGCTCTAAGATGGAGAGGGATGCAGGGTAGAGGGATCCAGACATGTGTTTTAGGGGGCGGGCCTCACCCGGTTGTGTTCAGGGCTTACTCTGCACTTTGTGCTCAGGGATCACTCCTGATGGTACTGGAGACCAAACCCAGGTGAAGGCAAGGTCCTTAAGTCACTCAGGTGTCTTGTGAAACCTTATCTGCCCTTAATCCCTATGGCTACAGTGAGTCTGGGACTGGCTAAGTGCCCTTTGTCTTGTGATGTTTCTTGGGTTCAGGCAAGAGGCTCTGGTGCCTGAGGAACCACTTCAGCCTGCTGTTTCCTTTTAGAATTCCAATCTGAATAGTAGCCAGGCAGTGGATCACTTGCTGTTGGGAATGGCCTCCCAGATTTCAGAGCTGGAAGACAGAATGGTTGTTGAAGATCTGAGAGGTAAGCTTGGAAGTTTCGGGTCCCTTCTTGGTTAAATCATCAAGCAGGTCTAGGCTGCCAGATCACAGCAAAGAGTCATCAGAATGGTTTAGTCCTTAATATTAATTTAGTGCTGCTTTTATTCTAAACAATTTCATGTCTGGATTGAGGGTACGATAGCAACACAACACTAGATTCTCTTTTTTTTTTTAATTTTTTTTTTTATTAGTGAAACACCATGAGGTACAGTTGTAGATTTACAATTTTTTGTGCTTGGGTTTGATTATACAATGATCAGATACCCATCCCTCCACCAGTGCCCATTTTCCACCACCATGGATAATATCCCCCCACCCCCATCCCCCCATCCCCCCACCCCCCCCTGCCTCTGTGGCAGGGTAATCCCCTGTGTTCTCTCTCTCCTTTTGGGTGTTGTGGTCTGCAAAAGAGGCATTGAGTGGCAAACATGTTCAGTCCATAGTCCACTTTCGACATGCATCTCCCCTCCTGGGAGGATCCTCCAAACACCCTTTATTTGGTGTTCCCTTGTCTATCTGAGCTGCCCTTTCCTCTAGAATGCCCGACTGGCCACTAAGCTATGGAGTAATCCTCCTGGTGCTGATCTCAGCTATTCTTGGGTATTAATCTCATATTTCGTTACTTTATGTCCCTCAGATGAATGCATAGATTCTCTTTTGTGCTTAGATCTTCTAAAGATTTTCTCAGCCCTTTCTTTAGAGTAAGGAAGTAAAAGATGGGGAATTTACATCTTGGTGACTGATACAATCTAGAGTCTTAGAGGAAGAGAGTTGCCAGAAAAACTATGCTTGGTCATACCTGGTGACATTGCACCCACATCAAGGCAAGGTCCATAAGGACACAAGTCATGCATGTGTCTTGAGTGTTGGATGTGGACAGGGCCAAGGCTGTCACGCAGAGGAGGGCTGGGGGGACCAAGCCCATAGCTTGGCCTCCTTTCCTCAGATTATTTTTATATTAGTCACTGTGAAATTACAAAGTTATTTATGAATGAGTTTCAGGAATACTTTTTTTTTAACACCAATTCCTTGGCCAGTGCCCACTTTCCTCCACTAATTTCCAACCCCTCTTTCCTCCTACCCACCAGTCTGCCTCTATAAGAGCACTTTTTAAAAAGTATGTAAGTTTTTGAATTGTGGTTTACTATACTGTTGCCATAGGATTTCATACAAAATACCTTACCACCTTTCAGCACCACCTCCACCTGTTTGATTTTCCCTCCACCACAATCATTTCTCCTTCCTCTCTTCAGATTACTGGCCTGGCCCTGGCAAGTTCTCCCGCACGGACTACGTGGCCAGCAGCATCCAACGTGGCCGAGATATGGGGCTACCCAGCTATAGTCAAGCCCTGCAGGCCTTTGAGCTAAAGGCTCCAAAGAACTGGACTGAACTCAACCCACATGTGGACCCCGAGGTTGGGAATAGTCTTGATAATAGCAGCTAAGCTTTCTGTGGTGATGCTGTTCTTAGACCATTACACAGTAACTGAGTCTTTGTCACAAACATAGAGTTGATACTGTCAGTTCCTTCTTTTTACTAATGACACAGTGTAAGGCAGTGGCAGAGGCAGGATTTGAGTTCAGCCATCTAACTCCAGAGCATGTTTGTTTCTGCAAGCCTACTCCTCAGAATGGGTACCACTCTCTGCTCCTGGAAGGTTTTGCTTCTTGAATTGGGGGGCCTAGGAATTTTGGGGAGTGATGGTCACATGGGCATTGAGAGTGGTCTCAGCATAGACAGGAAGACAATAGTCCTCCACTAAACTTGAGGGAGGCTGCCAGAAGAGGGACTCCCTTAAACCCAAACAGAAAGCTAGGCCCCTGATGGGGTCCTTTGTTTGCAAGATTGGGCAATTGTGGCTGCTTTCCCTGTAGTACCAACACACACACACACACACACACACACACATTCATACACTCACACATACACACACTCTCTCACATATACACACACATACACACACATACACTGACACACATATATACATACACTCACACATACATATACACATGTAGACTTTCTCACACCCACACACACAAATACTTGTGTGCTCACTCCTCACTTCTGGTGGTGTCTCAGGTACTAAAGGCCATAGCTGCCTTGTACAACCAGGACCTATCTCAGTTGGAGCTGCTCCCTGGGGGGCTCCTGGAGAGCCAAGGGGACCCTGGACCCCTCTTCAGTGCCATTGTGCTTGACCAGTTTGTGCGGCTGAGGGATGGTGACCGGTACTGGTTTGAGAACACTAAGAATGGGTAAGGCCTGCCGGGATCCCCCATCACACCCCTCCCCAGCCTAGTTCCCAGACCCTCTGCCTGTCTGACTACTTCCCGATGCCCCCGCCCACCCCTCCCTTGTTTTTCTCCCTCATCTGCAGCCCACGGTTTCTGGAGGCCTGCTTCTTTTTCTTTCCCAACAACCCTGACTTTGTCCCACACAGGCTGTTTTCTGAGGAGGAAATTGCAGAGATAAGAAACACTACTCTGCGAGATGTGGTGATGGCAGTCACCAAGGTGGCTCCGAGTGCCCTGCAGCCCAATGTCTTTGTCTGGCATGAAGGTGGGTGGGATATGGCCAGAGCATGAAGGTGGGGCTATATGTACAGGGGCAGGAGTCCCATGGAGCAGCCCGGTGAGTCAGGTACCAGGCAGGCGTGGTGAGGGGAGTCCCACACTAGCTGCCTCCCAGGGTCCAGCTGGAGGGGATACTTAAATATCTGGGATTTGCAAGGGGACATTTTGATGGATGCAAATTCCAGGTTGTTGGGCCTGGGCAGAAGGAGGTCTGGCTGGGGCAAAAGATCCTCAATTCTGAGGTGCTCTGCACCCTCTCCCTCAGGAGCCCCCTGCCCTCAGCCCCGGCAGCTCACGACTGAAGACTTGCCCCGCTGTGTGTCTCTAACTGAGTTGGACTATTTTAAGGGCAGCGGGCCTGGCTTTGGCATCACTATCGTGGCTCTCTGCTGTCTTCCACTAGGTGAGCCCCTCCCCCCATCTTCCCTCACACCATCTATTTCTGCTACAGAGTTAGCTCTGTGGTACTCAGGAGTAGAGAGGCTGAAATGGTGTTGGGAAGGAAAGGAGTAGCCACCAAAGCCTCAGTGATCTGCAGGCCAGGGGCTCCTCTCAACTGATGCCTTCTGTCCCCCTTCAGTGAGTCTGCTTATTTCTGCACTGGTGGCCCACTTCAGGCGCCGAGAGCTCAAGAAGTTACAAAAGAAAGGCAGAGAGAGCATGAAGAAGGAAACACACAGAGACGGGGTGCCAGGTGAGAGGGGACTGTGGAGACAGAGGGAGGAAGGGAACAAACAGGGATTCTGGGAAGAAAAACCAAGCAACAGATTGTGGGACAGGGAAATAGACTCACACTTTGGGTTCCTATTCAGACAGGGAGAGTGGAGCTGGCGGGAGGTCAGAGGTTGGGGACTTCAGTGGACTGCTTCTACCTACTTGTCCCTTCCTCAGCCATGGAGTGGCCAGGCCCCAAGGACAAGAGCTATCCCGTCACCATCCGGCTGCTCCCAGATGAGGGGCTGCAGGTCCTGGACCAGCGTCTCACCGTGCTCCGCACTGTTCAGCTGCGGCCCCCACAGCAGGTCAACCTCATCTTGTCCAGCAACCGTGGCCGCCGCACCCTACTGTTCAAGATCCCCAAGGAGTATGACCTTGTATGTCCCTACCTGGCTGCAGCATTGGTGGCCTGTTCCCATTCCTCTCTTCAGCAAGCCCCCTGTCCTGGTGATGGTGACAAACTGAATCTGGGGAGCAGCTTTGTTTGTTTTTTTTTTGCTTTTTGGGTCACACCCAGAGATGCACAGGGGTTACTCCTGGCTCATGCACTCAGGAATTACTCCTGGTGGTGCTCGGGGGACCATATGGGATGCTGGAGATCGAACCTGGGACAGCCATGTGCAAGGCAAACGCCTGACCCACTGCACTATTGTGCTAGCTCCAGGGGAGGGGCTTTTTTTTTTCAGAGGTCCCAAGACACCCTCTGACTGCCATGGAATCCTCACCTGGTCAGCCTGGGTGGAGGAGAAACTTTTCCCTCCCATACCAAGTTCCTTTGAAGGGAGAGGGAAGCCTGAGTTGCTTCGTCCGGACTTCTTTTTGCCCAGGTGCTGCTATTTAACTCCGAGGACGAGCGGGCTGCCTTGGTGAAGCAGCTGCAGGACCTCTATGCGTGCTGGGTGCTGGACTTGGAGCTGGCTGAGCTGGCTGAGGAGGAGCTGTTCCGGAAGGCCGTGACCAAGCAGCAGCGGGGCCGCATCCTAGAGGTCTTCTTCAGACATCTTTTTGCCCAGGTGCCATGGCTATGCCTTTTGGATGGAGCCCAGTCCAGGAGTTAGAAGGAACCTGGGCCAGACAGCAGCCTCTTTATGGGGTGAACTGACCAACTCTGGGGGTGAATCCTCGCTTTGCCACTCACTAGCTGTGCAGGCTTAAGTTGCATCATCTCTGCTCTGTATCTGTTTCGTCATCTATAAGCTATCCCATTGGTTCGCTGTGAGGATTCACTGACAGTTTCTATTGGTGCTTCTCAAAGTGCAGCAACAGCAGCTTTGCCTGGGATCATTAAAAAGCAGATTCTCAATGTTTCTCAAACATTTTAGAATAGAATTTCTATATGGCCCAGTGATTACTCTTCTTTGAGTCTATCTATTTCCCCCAATACAAAAGCATTAATTCAAAAGGAGATCAACACACCTATGTTAATTACAGCACTTAGTACAGAAGCCAGGATATGGGGGGAAACCCCCCCCCCCAAAAAACAACCTAAATGTCCAGTGATAGATGAACGGGCAAAGAAATTGTGGCACATAAAAACAATGGAATACTGTTTGGCTTTTAGAAAAGATAAAATCCTGCTGCAAAACAGATGTTAATCAAAATCATGATAAGCTAAGTAAGACAAATTCTGAATGATCTCACTCAGTTTTTAGACTATAGAGAGACAAAACGAGAGAGTGGATGGTATCAACTAACTCTTGGCCATCGATTACCAAGCAGTGTGAAGAAGATGAATGGAGAAGTGACATAGGATGAGAAGCAGCCATAGGGCTCATCTTCTCTGAGCTAGACTCTGGGGAAATATGAGAGTGACCAACTTCTTCCAGGGAAGGCCTCAGCTCCTCTCCTTATGTCTGCTGCTCGACTGCAGGTGCTGGACATCAACCAGGCCGACGCGGGGACGCTGCCCCTGGACTCGTCCCAGAAGGTGCGGGAGGCCCTGATGTGTGAGCTGAGCAGAGCCGAGTTCGCTGAGTCCCTCGGCCTCAAACCCCAGCACATGTTTGTGGAGTCCATGTTCTCTCTGGCTGACAAAGACGGCAATGGTTACCTGTCCTTCCGGGAGTTCCTGGACATCCTGGTGGTGTTCATGAAAGGTGGGGGATGGTGGACCATTGTGGGAGGCCACATGAGAGTCTTTCAGCAGAGAGATTACCTTCTCCCCACTTTCTTTTCCCAGGTTCCCCAGAGGACAAGTCCCGCCTGATGTTCACCATGTATGACCTTGATGCGAATGGCTTCCTCTCCAAGGATGAATTCTTCACCATGATGAGGTACGGGGTGGGACACTCTGATCCAGAGATTTCCTGGTTTGTTTTTGTTTTGGGGCCACACCTGGCAATGCCCAGGGGTTACTCCTGGATTTATACTCATGAATCACTTCTGGAGGTGCTCAGGGGATCATAAGGGTTACCGGGGATAGAATCCAGGTCTGCCACGTGCAAGACAAGTACTCTACCCACTGTACTATCTTTCTGGCTCCCTAACCTTCCAGTTTTAAACAGGAAGCAAGTCAGGTCTGAGAAGCTATGGTCATCTACATTGAGAAGTCGCCTACTGTCTGTAACACAGTAGCATCAGTGAAGGCCTTGGAGACCACTCAGAGGGCAGAGCTCATACTTTATATGTGGGAGTTCCAGGTCCAGTCCCTAGCATTGCATGGGGACCTGAGCACAGAGCTGGGAGCAGTCCCTGAGCACCAGTGGGTATGACCAAAACAGTGAAATAAACCAAAATGTACCTGATCAGGCCACTCTTGATCTCCACTGTCCATACCAACCAGAAAATTTATCTAGTTAAGAAAAAAGATCACTAATGATATCACCAGTAACAACATTCAGGACTAGAGAGGTAACTTGACAGGCTGAATGCATGCTTGAATCTAGGAAGCCTGAGTTCAATTCCCAGCACTGCATGTCTCTGAGCAGTGCCAGGAGTGACCCGCCCCCCCACACACACCAAGTATAGAGCCAAGAATACCCCCTGAGCACTGGCAGGCTGATTGTCCCTAACCCAAACCTACCTGCCCCAAACCCAAACCTACCAACCAAACAAACAAACAAGCAACAAAACCATCAGAGAATGTGCTGTGAACATTGATATAAACTCTGATATAATCTATGGATTTTAGTTTACAAACTGTATCAGAATTTAGAAAAAGAAGCCACTAGGGTGAAGCTGATTGCAGTATGTTTGAGCTGGGGGTGTCTTTTCAGGCCTCTGGTGGGCTTGGTAGTAGATGGCAGATCTCTGCCCCATCAAGGACATTTTTGTCCTGACCTTAGTATGGATCTTGCTTGTCTTTTGGGGTGATGTGTGTTTTTTAGTTTATTTTGGAACCCTACCCAGAAGTTCTCAGGGCTTACTCCTTGCTCTGTCCTCAAAGATCACTCCGGGGGGTGGGGTCAGGGAACCCTTTGGGATGCTGGGGATCAAATCCAGTTGGATGCATGCAAGGCAAGTGCTTTAGCTGCTGTAGTATTTCTCTGGGCCCTATTAAGTAAGTGCCATTAGTGCTTGCTGTATGGTGCAGGTGAAGGTCTGTTTGTATTTGCTACATTCCTAAACACCTATGGTCTGTTTATTTCTGTGCTCAAGCACAACCTCAAAACAAGAACTGGGTCACCACAGCTACCTTTCTGGATGTGCGTCAGCTGGTGCGTGGAAAGTTTACCCGTGCCCTGTCGTGTTGGCATGAGGAAGCAGCTGCCATCACAGTGACATCCTTTCCCTGCCCTTCTAGCTGACTTTACCACCCATCCCACAACCTATGGAAGGGGGAGCCCCTGGGGTGCTGTGGGAAGTATCAGCAGTGGATGAGAGGGCAGAGAGTCTGTTGAGCAAGAGGAGGATCTGGTCAGCTGGGTATGTCCCCAAACAAAATGGACTATTATCCTGCCTCCCACCGCCAATTTGAGGGTTCCTATCTCACACTTTCAGTTTTATTCTGCCTTCTAAGCCTGTGGCAACCCCACCCAGCTTAGTATCAGCCACAGCAGCCTACGTACCTTCTCAGAGCCCTGTTCCAGGTCATGGTAACTATGTTAGGTATTCGGGGCTGCCCCAGTCCCAGCCTGAGTGCACTGGGTGACAAATTGCCTGTTCTGCTCCTTCCCTAGCTCCTTCATTGAGATCTCCAACAACTGCCTGTCCAAGACGCAGCTGGCTGAGGTGGTGGAGTCCATGTTCCGGGAGTCGGGCTTCCAGGACAAGGAGGAGCTGACATGGGAGAACTTTCACTTCATGCTGCGGGACCATGACAGCGAGCTCCGGGCCACACAGTTGTGTCTCAAAGATGGAGGTGTGTATGTCTGCAAGTAATGTTCTGGATTAGGAGTGGCTTCCTTCAGAATGAGAGCTCCCGGTGGACAGGACGGAGATCTTGGACTGGGATGTGGCTCAGTGATAGAACACATACCTTGCTAGAACACATGCCTTGTGTGTGGAGGACCTGGGTTTGATTCCTGGCACCAGCATCAGCAGCACATGAAGTCTAATTTCTTTCTTAGTTCCAGGGACTTGCACAGAACCAGTCACATGTAATCAAGGGAGGGCACATGAAGCTATGCAGTTGGCACAAAAGTATAAATGTGCCCGATGAGGAGTTGAGAGGAAGAAGGAGATCTGGCCTTGGTGCTGCCTACCTAGCACTGCACATGGGTTGGGGAAGAGGAACTATTTTCTTGACACGACCACTGTAAAGTGGATGTACCTTTGCCACACTGTCTGTTCTGTGTACAGTGGGGCTCAGTGAGGCATTGAGGAGGAGGCTGGAGGAAGAGCTGGGACCAAGTACTTGGGGAGTCATGTGCAGCTTTTCCACCCCACCTGCCATGTGGGACGTCTGTTCAGCTTCTTGTTCTTGGTGTCAGTTTACTGTATCTCTGTCATCCTGTTGTTCATAGATTTCCTCGAGCAGGCACCAGTAACGTCTCCTTTGTCCTAACCCTGAGATTTTAGAAAGTGCCACATTGGAGGCTCTTTCAGGATCAGGAGAATGAGACCCATAATTGTTCCTGGTTTTTGGCACATTGAATATGCCATGGGGAGTTTGCCAGACTCTGCCCCATGTGGGCAGGATACTTTTGGTAGCCTTCCAGGTTCTCCAGAGTAAGAACTAGATAATAAGATGTTGCACGGCCACAAACCCAGGAGCTGGGTTTTATAGTCTCTGGGTCTTGGCCATTGATGGGATTACATGGCGCCGGGGGCAGTTGGTGGGTGTAACGCCTACATACTGGGAGATGGGAGATCTGGGTGGAGGAGGCCCAGTTCCAATCCGAGCAGGCTTGGAGATCTATGCCCCGGATTCCGCATACCTGGTTTCCTCTGCCAGATCCTTCATGCGTGAGGCTCATCAGTTATTGGAGACATTTGGCAGGTGTGTGTGTGTGTGTGTGTGTGTGTGTGTGTGTGTGTGTGTGTGTGTAGGAATAGTAGTGAAATACCTGGTAGTGCTCAGGGGCTATTTCTGGCTCTGTGCTCAGAAGTGACTCTTGACAGTGCTCGGGGGACCATATATAGTGATGGGAATTGAACCATAGTCAGCCTCCTGCAAGACCTTACCCCTATACTATCTCTCTGGTCCTCCAGGAGATATTTTTAAACCCAACATCAGTTGTCGAGTCTCATTCATCTCTCGGACGCCTGCAGGATGGTGAGCAAAAATGGGTGGTCCCTGGGGCCTCTTCTGCAGAGCAATGAAGATATTGGAGGGTGAGATCATCCCTAGGGGTCTGATATTTGTCCTTTGAAGGAAACTTTAAGAGTGTGGTGAGTTCCATCCTACATTCAGTTCCCCCCTCAACCTCCACCCACATATACCCTTTGTTCACATGCCAGGCTAGTTCTCTCTGCTACTCCAGGACAGAATCATTCTACAAAGAAGATCATCTCACAGTCATCTTCCTGTCCTGCTCCCAGTCTCCTTCTCTCTGGCCAGTTACAGGGCATGCATCCACTGCTCCCTTAAGCACTGACCTGCTGGTTCTTCTTTTGGCGGTAAAGAGAATGAGCCCGTTTTCCTTTCCTCAGCTCCAGATCCCAGGGAGTGGGGCTCCCTATGTCAGAAACCCCAGAGCTGCATGGCCCGAGGCTGAAGAAGAGGTTTGATAGAAAGTAAGTGTTTGGTAAAAAGTCAGTAAAAAGTAAGTGTTTCAAAGATCCCTGGGCCCACAGATATGTAAGAAGAGGTCTTGAGGTCTCTGTAACCCTTGGTACCTTCCGTTGTGTTTCATATAAGACTCTTCAGCTTTGTACATCAAAAGACAGATCAGCCTCCCCACCCTAATCTTTAGCAAAAGGCCTGACCCTTGACTGTAAGACCAATAGGACAACGAGGGGTCTCTTGGCTCCTGCTTGTTTTGAGGCTAGTGCAGGAAGTAGGAAGAGGGAAGGATACGAGGTGAAATAGCGGTGAACAGAAAAGTGGTAGATAGAGCAAATGAAGATGAAAGCAGGGCCTGGAGGACAGTACAGGAGGCAGAGCGCCTGCCGTGCATGTAGCCGACTTGGGTTCATTCCCAGGACCACATATAGTTCTCTGAGCATGACCAGGAGTGACTCCTGAGTGCAGAGCTAGAGAATGAGCCCTGAGCACCAAAGGATGTAGTAGCGCTGTGCCGCACCACCACCCCCTCCCTGCCCCCCTCCATGAGAACAAATAAAGATGAGGAGTTTGCAGTGTGGGATTTACCCCCAAAGTGCTTTTTCCTTTATAGAGTGTCATTTTGGGGGGTCAGGTGACCAGGGTGGTGCCCTTAGCCCCCAACCTCGTTTCTCATGGCTGCAGGTCTGTGGGGCCTCGCCCCCAGCTGTACACAGAAGCCCAGCAGGAGAAGATGCAACGGGGCTTCCTGGTCCAGAAGCTGAAGCAGTATAAGCGCTTTGTGGAGAACTACCGTCGGCACATAGTCTGTGTGGCAGTGTTCTCCGCCATCTGCGCTGGCCTGTTTGTGGAACGCGCGTATTGTAAGGGTGGGGAGGCAACCTTCTGCTGTCATTCCTTGCCCCTTGGCATCTGGCTGGGGAAGGCCCCAATTTGCAGAGGTCTAGGCCCCTACTTCTGTGTCCTGCTGATTCATACATACCACCCTCATCTCTTTCCCCAGACTATGCCTTTGCCTCACCACCCTCGGGCATTGCAGAGGTCACCTTTGTGGGCATCATCCTGTCCCGGGGCACGGCGGCCAGCATCTCCTTCATGTTCTCCTACATCCTGCTCACCATGTGCCGCAACCTCATCACCTTCCTGCGCGAGACCTTCCTTAATCGATACGTGCCCTTCGATGCTGCTGTGGATTTCCATCGCTGGGTTGCCATGGCTGCTGTCATCTTGTCTAGTATGTGTCTCTGGGGCCTCCCTCCCATGACTGCAGCCTACTCCCCAGCTTGAGCTGTAGGGAAGCCATGAGAGGCCTGGGTGGCGTTTCTAATTGTCTCTGTCTCTCAGTTTTGCACAGTGTCGGCCACGTGGTCAATGTCTACATCTTCTCAGTCAGCCCCCTCAGCCTGCTGGCCTGCGTCTTCCCCAGCGTCTTTGTGAATGACGGGTCAGTCTGAGGAAAGTCCTCCTGATCTTGGAACACCTGGGATAGGTCTAAGAGTACATTAGAAGGAAAATAGAGGGCCCTAGATACTGAGAGGGTGAGGCCCTATTCTTGGGGAGACAGATTGTCAGGAAGGAAGTTAGCTATGGTTGGCCAGGAAAGCAGTTTTGTAGATGAATCTGGGGGCTCCTTTCTACACATCTCTGACACCACAAGCTTGCCATCTTGACTTATTGTCACCCATGGAGCAGGAGTGATACCTGAGTTCAGAATCAGGAGGAAGCCACTGGGTGTGGCCCAAAAACCAAGAGAGAGGGAGGGAGGGACAAAGGGAGAGAGGGAGGGGGAGAGAGAGAGAGAGAGAGAGAGAGAGAGAGAGAGAGAGAGAGAGAGAGAAAGACAGCAGAGAGAGACAGAGAGAGACAGAGAGAGAGAGAAAACGATGGAGCATATCTTTCAATCTTTCATCCAGGTGCCAGGAGTAGGATGCTAATACACAAGCATTTGTTCAGGAGTTATATGTGGAACACTGTCTGACTCTGTGTGAGTACAGTGCTAGAGCACCCTTACTCCCCCCACCAGTTTTTTCTTTTTTTTTTCTTTTTTTGTAGGAGTACAGCTATTTATTAAGCCACTGATTAGCTGATTGAATTGTGCATGAACTCCACCTCCTTTTTTTTTCTTTTTCCATTTTTTATAATTTTATTTATTGAATCACCGTGAGAGCAGTTACAAAGCTTTTGGGTCTAAGTCTCAGTCATACAATGAAACACCCATACCTTCACCAGTGCCCATTCTCCACCACCAAAAATCCCAGTATACCCCCATCCCACACCCTCCCCCTGCCTGTGGGGCAGATGATTTCTACATTACTCTCTCTCTACTTTGATCACATTCACTATTTCGACACCAGACCCACCATTATTTAAGATTTTACCCCAACACTCAGATCTGCTGAAAAGGCAACAATAGACAATTTGTGTTCTATTGCTGGTTGTGAATAACATGATGTCGTGTGACTGCAGTAGGGCCATGTGTTTTTGAAATTCTGAAATTTTAACACTTAAATCTGGAGGGATTTCTGCCAAAAGCCACTGGGTTTAGAGATCTGCTCCTGAGTCTCTGGAATCATGGCCGTTGAGCAGCTTGATGAGGAGCCAATGAGGCCGTTCATGGGCGATGACTTGGGGTCTCATTGGGGTGGGGAAGACAGGCCCGGCTCCACCTCCCCCCTCATCCCGTGAGACACAACAAGTTTCGTCACTGCGGGCCCAAGCCTGACTGTCCAATGGCCTCTGGAGGATGACAGCCACCAAGTCGCCAAGAGGGAGCAGGCAGAGGGACAACAACACCCTTTCCTCCCTGGGGTGGCCCGGCGACAGTAACGTACCCCACCAGCTTTTTCGACCCCTCTGTCCCAGGAAACTCGCAGAGAGTGAATCAGGTGCTCAAGCAAACAAAAGTCAGCTGATGGAGATTCAGGACATGGGACCACTGTGGGAGGGCAGATAGTAAAAAGCAGGAGGGGCATGTGCCACGTTCCTTGGGTGACCTACTGGGTGGAGCCCTGTAAGTGCTGCTGTCCATGTGAATATGCTGGAACTCTCCGGTCCCCACCAGTGACTCCACATGCCTTTGTCCCACAGGTCCCAGCTTCCCCAGAAGTTCTACTGGTGGTTCTTCCAGACTGTCCCAGGTAGGGAATTGTGTGTGGAGTCTAAGGCTCTTTCTGAGCTTTTGTCTTTGTCTGCCCATCATATACATTTGATAGTGGTGGTTGTTGGTTCCCTTTCTAGCTCTGGGACCAGCCCCAGCTCCAGTCCTTTCAGGCAAGGGAGGGAGAAGGGAGGTCAGGGAGGAAGGGTGGGGAATGCTTTGTTGTGCTCTTAACCCCAGCGGAGGTCCTGAGATTGCTTCTATCCCCACTTTCCCCAGGGGTGACAGGGGTGCTCCTACTCCTGGTCCTGGCCATCATGTACATCTTCGCTTCCCACCACTTCCGGCGCCGCAGCTTCAGGGGTTTCTGGCTGACCCACCACCTCTACATCCTGCTCTATGTGCTGGTGAGAGACTCCTTTGGGCAGGGCTCGGCCATGGGACAGAAATGAGGTCTGACAATTCAGGGCTGAGAGCCTGAGATCGGAGAAGCCCAGAATCTGAAGCCCCTACTAGTTCCCTGGATCTAGGCCCAGGCTAAGGCAGGAAGTGCTGCAGGCAAGAAGCCTGACGGGGCATGAGCTACACTAACTGGCTGTGTCTTTAGATCATCATCCATGGCAGCTTAGGCCTGATCCAGCTGCCCCGTTTCCATATCTACTTCCTGGTGCCAGCACTCATCTATGGGGGTGACAAGCTGGTGAGCCTGAGCCGGAAGAAGGTGGAAATTGGAGTGGTGAAGGCAGAGCTGCTGCCCTCAGGTACTCAGTGAAGCCTGACCTGGGGTGATTGGCTGGGGGAGGGGTTGGGAGGGTTCTGGGGAAGATAGCTACCCAGGATATCTGTGGGACCCCTACCATTTGCTGATGCAAATACAGCTTTTATTTATTTATTTATTTAATCGTCTATTTTATTTATTTTAACTTTTAGGCACTTTCACAATATTGTTACTGATAGGGTGGCTTACATAACACATTCCTTCCACAGTCCCATCAGAGTAGTCATATCCCTCCACCATTTTCTCAATGTTGAGTCCCCAACCCCCCACTACATGGTAAGCTTCGTACTAAAGACAAGTTCTTAGTTTCTGTTGCATTTGGGTATTTGTTATACCCCACTTTGTTTTGTTATATCCCACTTATGAGAGAGATCATTCTGTGTCTGTCCCTCTCCAAATGCAACTTTTAAAAAGGCTGTGCTGCACTGCACTAGTCTAATAGCCAAGATATGGAAACAACCCAAATGCCCAACTACAGAGAATGGATCAAGAAGTTGTAATATACATATATACATATATATACATATATACATATATATACACACACGCACACAAACACACATGCAGAATACTGTGCAGCTCTAATAAAGAACAAAACCATGCAGTTTATAGCAACATGGATGGACCAAGAGGATGTCATACTGAGTAAAGTCAATCAATAAGGAAAAGAATAGATCTAGAATGATCTCTCTGATATTTGGGACTTAAAGATACAAAGCAAGGCAGCAGCAAATATCCAAAGGCAGCATAATGGATTAATTGATCTATATGTTGAGTTCGAAGGGATGAGAAGGAGGGGGTTGGTGTCCTTGGGGGAGGAAGATGGATACTCTGGTGATGAGTGTGGTGTTGCAATTATGTCCATAAGGAGCTCTAATAAATAGTATTGTAAAAAATATCAAATAAAAATATGCAAATAAAATTTAAAAATAAATTTAATAGACTGTGCTGGACCTTGAGGAGGGCGTGAAGGTTAGAGTATGCTATGAGAAGAGCCGGCTGAAAGCCATACAGAAAGAGAGGGCAGGAGATATCCCTCCTTGTGAATGGGTGCAGGACATGGATCTCTTCCCTGTCCTTCCCTCAGAATAAGCCTCTGAAGAAGACAGGCAAAGAGAGTTTTGTTGACAGTCAATGTTGGCCAAGACTGGGCAGCTTGATTTCATAGAGAGTGGCAGGAGATGCCTTTAGGAGTGTTGGGATGAACAGTCTAATTGTCAGGATTCACACAATAAGAAACTGAACCCGAGTTCCCTAAAAATGACTTCATTTCCCTTCTCTACTCCCAGGAGTCACCCACCTGCAGTTCCAGCGACCCCAAGGCTTTGAGTACAAGTCGGGACAGTGGGTGCGGATCGCCTGTCTGGCTCTGGGGACTGATGAGTATCACCCCTTCACGCTGACATCTGCACCCCATGAGGACACTCTCAGCTTACATATCCGGGCAGTAGGACCCTGGACCACTCGCCTCAGGGAGACCTATTCAACCCCGCTGGGTGACACTTATGCCAGATACCCAAAGGTGCCATTGCTGGGAACTACTTTCGGGCCCTAGACCTTGGTAGAAGGTTCCTGCCCACGTAGATCCTGAGATTCCCTCTGAGACCTAACTAGGAGTGGAATGGAGTGCCTCAACTGACTCTGGGGTGCCCTATATCCTCTACTCCCTGTCCTTCTTTCTTTTCCAGCCTCAGAAATGAGGAAAGATCTTTCTCACCTTATCTTCCCATTTTCTTGGCAGCTGTATCTTGACGGGCCATTTGGAGAGGGCCACCAGGAGTGGCACAAGTTTGAGGTGTCCGTGCTGGTGGGAGGGGGCATTGGGGTCACCCCCTTTGCCTCTATCCTCAAAGACCTGGTCTTCAAATCATCCTTGGGCAGTCAAATGCTCTGTAAAAAAGTGAGTGTCGGGCAACAGAGAGACAGAACAGGGTGGAGGCTTTCTTAAATGCAACCAACCCTGGTACTCCAGCACCACCTTGAATCCCCTGAGTACCACCAGGTGTAACTCCTGACCACAAAACCAGGAAGAGCCTCTGATCATTGCTGGGTGTGGCCCCCCAAATGTAGCACTGTAGCACTGTCCTCCTGTTGTTCATCGATTTGCTTGAGCGGACATCAGTAGCGCATTATGAGACTTGTTACTGTTTTTGGCACATTGAATACCTATGGGGAGCTTGCCAGGCTCTGCTGTGGGGGCGGAATACTCTCGGTAGTTTTCCAGGCTCTCCGAGAGGGATGGAGGAATCGAACCTGGGTTGGCCACATGCAAGGCAAATGCCCTACCCACTGTACTATTGCTCTAGCCCCCAAATGTTAAAAAGATAAAATTAAGAAAGTATTTCCTATTCTCAGAAGGAATGAAGATTGACAGTGGATATGTCCCCATATCACAGCAGAGAAACTGTCCACAGTTCAGGCACTGAGTCTGCTGGGATGCTTGGACCCAGTTGTCCAGATGGCAGACATCAGAGGCAGGCTGGAAATGTAGCCAGAGGGACCAGTGCTGGGGCTGTCAGCCTGGATCAGGGCTTGGGACACTGCCAGAGGGCTGATGTCTCTGAGGGGACTGGGATTTTCCAGGTTTCTGGAAAAGGATCTGGAATTGGGGAACCTCAAACTGAACTGAGCCCTTTTTCCCCAGATCTACTTCATCTGGGTGACGCGGACTCAGCGGCAGTTCGAGTGGCTGGCCGACATCATCCGGGAGGTGGAGGAAAATGACAGCCAGGACCTGGTGTCCGTGCACATTTACATCACTCAGCTGGCCGAGAAGTTCGACCTCAGGACCACCATGCTGGTAGGTCAGGGCTGGCCCTGTGGGGGCGGAAAGTTGCCACCTGGACGAGCAGCTGACCCTGGGCCTGCCTGGCGGGACCCTCCCCCTCCTCTCTGTCCCCCAGTACATCTGTGAGCGGCACTTCCAGAAGGTGCTGAACCGGAGTCTGTTCACGGGCTTGCGTTCTGTCACCCACTTTGGCCGTCCTCCCTTCGAGCCCTTCTTCAACTCCCTGCAGGAGGTCCACCCGCAGGTCAGTTTTCCCCTAACCATTCTGGGACATCTGGACCCTCAAGGACCCCACAGTTCTTTCCTGAGGCGAGAACGCCCACACTGACCCAGGTTTCATCCCCTCACCTTTGCCCCTCGCCCCTGCCTCTTCTTCAGGTCTTGGGGAAATTCTCTCGTCACTGCAACCAGCTGTTAGGAGCAGCTTCTTCCCAGAAACAGCAGCTCAGCCTGCCATGTGTTTTCTTCTGAAAACCCTCCCTCTTCCACTTGACAGGTGCGAAAGATTGGGGTGTTCAGCTGCGGCCCCCCAGGGATGACCAAGAATGTAGAGAAAGCCTGTCAGAGCATCAACAGGAAGGACCAGGCCCACTTCATGCACCACTACGAGAACTTCTGAGCTCAGCCTCCGTGACTCCCACTTTCTTACTATGGGGCCTGCCACTAGCACTTTCTCTGTCAGAATCTACCAAGGCCTCAAGTGCAGAGCTGGAAGGACCTCTCCCTCATTGTCCCTCTGTCCCATGCACTGAGAAGCTAGAAAAGATCTCTCCAGCTCAAGTCACAGCAGGTTGTGATGAACACAGTGTGCAGAATCAATCCCTGCCCTCAAAAGTCATGAGATCCAACTGCATGTGCCCAGTGTCTCTGCCTAACTCCCACAAAATCCATCCATGACTGCTTCAGCATCTTCTCTTGGCATTGGGGTGGGGGGTGGGGTGGGTCGGTATTTGCATGTGCTGTGAGGGCAGGGCTCAGATTGCAAATTTCCTCAGAGGCTACTTAGAAGCTACTTAGCAAAGGACAGCCTGGCTGCTTCCACCCAGTTTCTAAAGTCTCTGCAGCACCATGCACACCCACCTTCATGCTTCCAGAGGACCAGAAAGCATAGAGTAAAGATGCCTCCTAATCCTGATATTGGCCAGCGATGCCCCCTCTCTTCTTCTGTTGGTAGGCCCCTCTATACTTGCCAGAGCAGCCCTGGAACACAGACTGAGGGTGTCCGGCCCCTCAGCCAGACACCTCAGATACCGTTCTTGTCCCCCTAATACCACAGGAGTTGGGCATTCAAATGTACCAATTTGACCAGGACTATCCCAGTTTTAACACTGAACATTTCTTGTTCTTCGGAACCCCTCATTCCAAGGATATTTCAATCTGGACAACCTTCCTGGGAGTCAAACTGGGCTGTGACCCCCATAATTAACTCTTTAAGACTCTTTCTTTCCGTAGCTCTTCCCTGAAAAACTGCGCTTTGATGGTTTGGTACTAAAAAAATTAGATATGATTTTTTATGCAGTTAAGTGTAGAAACATTTCAAATTTTTCACAATTATAAATAAAGCTGCTAGAAACATTTTATACTGGTCTTTTGGTGAACTTAATGTTTTTGTTCTTTTGGGGTATTTTTATGGGAGTGGAATTGCTGGATCCTAGAGTTCTCTAGCTAACCCAACTTATGATGGAAGGTTTTAGACCACCCCTGTCATAGACTCCTTTCTTTGTTGGGCCACTCTACTTGTCTTAGATATGCCAATGACTGGGTTCCCAGTTCTCTCTATTTCTTCCCCTTCGCTATTTATTGAAATTAGTCAATGATGTTTTAAGTGCTTTTCAATAGTCACATTTGTTTTTCCTTAAGAAAGGACTGTGCGCAAATGGACAGTCTATTTTGGGGAGTGGGGGTGGTATTGGCTGTACTCAAGCAGTCCTCAGGGGCTCTTCCTAACTCTGTGCTCAGGAGTGATTCATAGTGGTGCTCAGGGAAACCTAGGTAGTGTCAACAATTTGAACTGGAGTCAACAGGATGCTAGGCAAGTGCCTTAGCCCCTGAACTATCTCTCTGGTCCCAACTGCTTTTTCTTTTTTCCTTTCTGTTATGGGCAGCATAACTGAGGGTGCTTGGACCCAGAGATTGAATCCAAAGTTTCTGCCTCTCACATTCAAGCTAGATACTCTACCTCTTGAGCCACATGCCTGCCCCTGGATTGTTTTTCCAATATGGTAATAAATAGTGAGACCAGGTGACAAGTATATGTTCTTCTCTGAGTGATTAGAAGTTGTTTCCAACCCTCTATATTGAAGATATATTCAATTTGATAGATCTGGATGACCATTGAGTCAGGAATCAGTGAGATAAACAATAGATGTGTAGTCTAGTGGCCACTTCACTTCTAAGTAGCAGCAGAGAAAAGTCCCTTAATCTCTTAATTTCCTCATGTATTAACATGTCTTATTAAGTATTAGGAAGTCAGGTAGTGAACAGGATCAAAAATTATAGATGAAAAATGCATGGGAGGGGCTGGAGTGATAGCACAGTGGGTAAGGCATTTGCCTTGCACACGGCCGACCTGGGTTCGATTCCCAGCATCCCATATGGTCCCCTGAGTTACCGCCAGTAGTAATTTCTGAGTGCAGAGCCAGGAGTAACCCCATGCATCACCAGGTGTGACCCAAAAAGCCAAAAAAAAGTATGGGAATGTAGTACACAACTACAATGTAATAATTATTATTATTATTTTGCTTTTGGGGTCACACCCAGCGATGCACAGTGGTTACTCCTGGTTCACACTCAGGAATCACTCCTGGCAGTGCTCGGGGGACCATATGGGATGCTGGGAATTGAACCTGGGTTGGCCGCGTGCAAGGCAAATGCCCTATCCTCTGTGCTATTGCTCCAGCCCCTGCAAAATATTATTACTATTAATCTACTTATTTATAAACAGCACCATGCTTCCAGGCTTCCTGTCCATTGCCAGGTGCATAGTCATTCATCCTCACCTCCCATCTTGTAAGGCCCAGTCTTAGCTTTATCCTCACATCTGATCACATCAGTGCCTTCCTTTCTCTTTCTAAACTTGTTTCCAAATACTTGTCTGACCCACACTAATTCACTGAATCTTGCCAGATCAGAGTGTGTTGTTAGTGTGGCTGATGATTCTCTATATGACCCCTCCTTAGCTCTGATATCCCTCGTCTGGAGTTTGAGTAAAGGTCTTCTAAAAATTTTATGACCACTTTTGCCCAGAACCCAGTAATGCCAAGTATACATCCAGCTGGTCAGAGGGATGTGCCATTATGATCAAAATTGTTGTTGATGTTTTTGGTCCACACCTGGCTTACTCCGACCTCTTACTCAGTGATCACTTCTGACGACTCCAGAGGACCATATGGGGTACTGGGGATCAAACTAGGGCCAACCGCATGCTAGGAAAGCACTCTGCCCATTGTATTAACTCTCCAAGCTCCTAATTAAAAAAATTAGTCACCATGATTTACAATACTGTTAATATTAATGCTTCAGGCATACAATGTTGTTTTACTACATCCTCTACCAGAGTGTCAGTGCCCATCCACCACTTATTCTAGGTCCCCTCTTTGGATTCTCCCTGACTTAGCCACTCAGTTATATAGGTCTGTAGCACTGCAACACTGTCATCCTGTTGTTCATCGATTTGCTCGAGCGGGCACCAGTAACATCTCCATTGTGAGACTTGTTGTTACTCTTTTTGGCATTTTGAATACACCAGGGAGCTTGCCAGGCTTTGCTGTGGGGGCGGGATACTCTTCATACCTTGCCGGGCTCTCTGAGAGGGATGGAGGAATCAAACTCGGGTCAGCCTCATATGCAAGGCAGATGCCCTACACTCTATGCTATAGCACTACAGTACAGTGGGTATATAGGTCAGTTCTCATTATTCCTTTATTATGTTCATTTATACTCTATGTATAAGAGAGATCATTCTCGTTTTATCCTTGTGCTTTGATTCACTTAGTTCTGCATGACATCTTCCAGTTCCATTCACGTGGTAATGAATTACAGGGCTCCATTTCTTGTTTCTTTTCCTTCTCCCGCTCTGTTGAGCCATGCCAGTAATGCTCATAGATTTTCTCCACCTCTGTACTTAAGGGGGTCATTCCTGATGATGCTCAGTAGACCGTGCAGTGCTGAGGATCAATCCTAGGTCTCTCGCATACAAAATATTCTCTCAGTCCCATATGCTACAATTTTTTATCTCCTCATTTGTTCTTGGGTGCTTGAATTGTTTCCAGATGTTGGCCATTGTTAATAGCACTGCAATGAATATAAAGTATAAACATATGTTGGAATGAATGTTTTTTGGCTTTTGGGGTAGATGCCAAGAAGTGGAATCTCTGAGTCATGTGGAAGCTCAAAGCACAGTGGGTAGGGCGTTTGCCTTGCACAAACAGACCTGGGTTTAATTCCTCCATCCCTCTCGGAGATCCCAGCAAGCTACCGCGAGTATCTCACCCGATTGGCAGAGCCTGGAAAGCTCCCCATGGCGTATTTATATGCCAAAAATAGTAACATCAAGGCTCACAATGGAGACGTTACTGGTGCCCACTCGAGCAAATCGATGAACAACGGGAGGACAGTGCTACAGTGCAGTGCTACTTTTCCCTCATTGTTAATTTTTTCTTGGGGGTGGAATCTCACCTTGCAGTGGTCAGGGATTACTCCTGACTCTGTGCTCAGGGATAATTCCTGGTGGTGCTTAGGGGACCATAGTGCTTTATAGTATAAAGTTGTGCCTTTAAGATCTTGAGAAGCCTCTGGTAGCACTCAGCCTGCTTATCCCGTCTCCACAGCCCAGTCAAGTCCTAGTTATCAGCTCTAGGCTGATCACATACACTTAGTTATTCTGGCTGCTCTGCCTAACTTTGTTCACATTCTCATAAAGTCCCTCATTTCTTGGATAAGAGTCAAGGACTTGCATAAAGTATAGACATGTCTTTGGGCTTTTGTCATGAGCTTCAATTAACTCCATCCTGCGTGAACTTTGTGATCGGCTCTCTTCAAGAAGTAGATGAGGGGCCAGAGTGATAGCACAGCGGGTAGGGTGGTTGCCTTGCACGCAGCCGACCTAGGTTCAATCCTTGGCATCTTATATGCTCACGCAAGCACTGCCAGGAGTGATTCCTGAGTTCAGAGCCAGGAGTAACCCCTGAGCATCGCTGGGTGTGGTCCAAAAAGAAAAAAAAGAAAGCAAATGAAAGTAAGACAAGAGCCATCATTCATCAAGTGATATGCCTTTGGTTTACATGATGAGGTCATAGGAAGTAAGGGGGAGGTTAAATTCTAGAAAATAGATAAACAAAGTAGGCTATAAAAATAACTCAAGGGAAAGAAGACTAAGAAAAGATGACTGAAAGGAATGTTTCATAGAAAATTTGACAGTGAGTGCAAAGTTTGGGTCACAACAATCAGTCTTAACCTTTAGGTACAATCCCAGGGACAGGGACAGGATGAGACTGGAACAGGGTGGGAAAAGGTTGCAGCTGGGATTGGAGATAGCAAATATAATGAGGGCGATGAGATTATCTGGAAAAGCCTTCATGAGAATGGAGTAGGCAAGAACAGGGAAGTGAAGAGGTTGAGTTTTGTAGGAAAAGAATGAAGGCTAGTTCTTTGCCTCTTTTTTCCAAGTTTCTAGACTCAGCTTCTTCCTCAGAAAGAAGGAAGAAACTGAGAATAAATGGAAACCTTCTTACCCATTAGCTAGGAATTTTTGAGGAAGAGGCACCAAGCATTGGTGTACTAAAGATTCAGTGGTCAAAAAGACAGTATAGAGGGTAAAGCAATTGTTTTGCATATGGCCAGCTAGGCACACATGTGGTCTTCTGAGCACTGTCAGCTATGACTCCTGAACACAGAACT